GTGATTTTGAAAGATCACACAATTCAAAGAGGAAAAGAAAGGAATTGCTGAATTAGCCACGGATTCACCATGTACCATGGCAGAGTGGGCAGGAAACCGAGCGTGGTCCAGATAAGCTGAGGCTTTAGAGAACGTAAAAATAACTAAGACTTAAAGTAGTTCCACAGCAGTGCCTGTTGAGAACAGAGTAACACAGGGACTGGGAGATGGAAGGATGTCGGTAGTGTTTGCCATGGAGCCTAACCCTCATCCTTAGCATCATGTGAAAAGGTGAGTGTGGTGGGACACACTTGTTCTCCCGGTGCTGGGAAGCCAGTGAGCAGCCCGGGTACCCGTAACCAGACAACCCACAGTCCCAGTGATTGACCCGTCTCAGGAAACAAGGTGGATAGGACCTAAGGACATCTGAAGTTGTCTTCTAGCCTACACACATTCAAGCACTCACACATGCATGTACACACACACAGATGCACATCACCCACACATACACCAAATGACCTTTACGACACTGGAGACTAAGGAAGTGATGTTGGTTTCAGCTGTAAACTGAAGAAACTTCAAAGTATTCTAGAATTAGTAACCAGGAATCAGTGGGAAGAGGGAAGAATTAAAAATTTTATTATAAAGATACTATATTTTTATAAAGATTATATTTTTATATAGTATTATAAAAACATTATCGTATTATAAAGATAATTCTTGAAATCTCAGGAAATAAAAATATAAGCACAGTGGCTAGAAGCAGAGAAGAACTGCGTTTTTACGAATAAAGTTAAAAAGAAAGAGAGAGAAAGAAAAAGAGAGAAAGAGAAAGAAAGAGAGAAAGAAAGAGAGAAAGAAAGAGAGAGAAAGAAAAAGAAAGAGAGAGAAAGAAAGAAAGAAAAAGAAAAAGAAAAAGAGAAAGAGAGAAAGAGAAAGAGAAAGAGAGAAAGAGAGTGAGAGAAAGAGAGAAAGAAAGAGAGAGAAAGAGAAAGAAAGAAAGAAAGAAGACGGAAAGAAAGAAGGAAAGGAAGAAAAAAGAAAAAATTTAAAAAGAATAAAGATATAAAAAAAATGTGAATTTTACTGGGACATCCAAGCCAGAGTATTGGAAGGATTCATCAAAATGTGAGGCCATGAAGCTTAAACTTATCTTTTGCTAGGCCCATCTGTTTTAGTTTGAATGACAAGAATGTAGCTTACCAAGCAAGTAACCTGGGACAAGCTGCTTGGGCTTTCCCACGTGTTAGTCTTCCATCTTAAAAAGAGGAATACCACCAAGACCATAAAACGTAGTCAAATGTGTAGCACACTCGAGTAGAGCCAACATCTCACCTGGCTTTCAGGACACACACACACTCATTTTAGCCAGCTGCCTCAGGGGTTTCTCCGTGTCTGTGTGTGTTTTAGTCAGCCAGGGCATTATCTGAACAGTCTCATCAAGGGACTCAATTAGACATTAGGATTATTTGTTTTCAAAGGAGGATTTTAGCACCAGATGCCTTTGTCAGCCTCCACAACCTCCCGAGACCAGTAGTACCATTTTTTTAAGGAGAAATGAATTAAAGGAATAAGCTAATGTGTATATAACTTTTTGACAAGTCCAAGCTGTCACTCAAGAGGGCCTGTTGGGTACCGCAGATTCTCTGAATTGCCTCATCTCAGAGGGATTTGCCTTCGAATGGGATCTGGCATGGACAGAGCTGTGTGTCTGACCGGAGGGACACTGGTGGCCTTAGACAGAAACCTCTAGCCCTTCCTAGACATGTCTCTTCTTTTAAATATGTTTTACTTATTATTTTGGTGCTAAAGAGATTAAACCTAAGGTTTTGAGCTTCATCCCAGCACTGGTCCAGATCTCCCAGTGTCTATTTTAGCATGAAATCATGAGGATGTAGTAGAGGGTAATTTATTTGCTCAGTGACTGAGACAGAAACAAGCCAAGGACACGTTCAATCAACTTCAACATCAACTGTTTGACTCCTAACTCAAGCGGGAATTTAAAATGCATCCCTGTAGCTCCAACTCTGTACAACTAGGATCATCTAAATCTCTGTCCCTGTAGATTAGTATTGTCAGCTTGGCAGAATCTAGCGTTGCCTAGGAGACAGGCCTCAGGGCATGCCTGTGGGGGACTATCTCGGTTGACTTGAATGATGTGGGAAGGCTATGCTGACTGTGAGCAGGACTGCTCCCTGGGCAGGGGGATCCTGGATGGCAAAAAAACAGAGAAAGCCAGCTGAGTACCAGCAGGCTCTCGTTGTTGTTTCTTGACTGCAGATGTGATGTGAACAGCTGTGTCAAGCTCCAGGTGCCATGCCTTCCTCAGCATGATGGACTGTGTGGATCCTGAACATAGATCACTTCTGTCAGGATATTTTATCACAGGAACAGGAAGGGAAACTAAGACAATTGTTATGTTTACTTTTTACAGTTTTTTTTAGTTTTTAATAGGCAGCTCATGGATGTGGTCACTTTATTTTGAGGAACAGAGAGAGACTGATCTCAAAAAGTTGCTGGCAGGCATAAATGTGTCTGCACACAACGGAATATTTGACCATAAGAAAGAATAAAATCCTATCGTTTATAGCAACTTGGGGAGAAATGGCCCCCTTACTATGCTAAATGAAGCCAAGGACAGACAGATGTTACATGCTCTTGATGGAAGCTTTAACAACAACAAAAAAAGGTTGATCTTATGGCAACTGAGTAGAAGAGTTACTATCAGAGGGTAGGGGGTGGTAAATGGGGTATGACAGAGGAAGGCTGGACGATTAGAAGTGAAAATTACACAGGAGGAGTAAGTTCTCGTGTTTGGGGTAGGCAGGGTGGCTACAGTTCACACCTTACATATTTTATAAGGACTTTGATGGTTTTGAAGGTATTTTCAAGACAAATAATGTTTAAGAAGATGAAAATGCTAATTGCCCTGATTTGAGGATTTCACACTGTACACACACACACACACATCAATTATATTACCTCCTGAAAATGTAATTACTTAGATCCAAACTAAGGCAATCTTTTTACATTTTATCTGTGTGTGTAGGAATTGGTCCTCTCCTTCTACCATGTGAGTCCTGGGAATTAATCTCAGGTTGTCCGTGGCAGCACTAAGTGCTTTTACCCACTAAGCCATCTTGCTGGCCTCAAAATAAGGAACTTGAAAGCTCTATCATCATAGACGCTAAATGAAAAGGGATATGGATGCCGCTCCATTAACTGTCTGTCGGGGTGCTTGCCCAGCATAGACAAAGCCCTGGGTCTGACCCTCAGCCTTGCATTAACAGTGGAGTAGTACAGGCCTGTAATCTCAGTGCTTAAGGGGGTTGAGGCGGGAGGAACAGGGGTCCGAGGTCATCCTCAGCTACTCAAGTCTCAGACCAGCCTGACCAACAGGAGACCCTGTCTCAAACTATAACAGGGGCTAAGATGGCTCAGTGCAGTTTGATCCCCAGAACCCACATTGTCTTAGTTAGGATTTCTATTCTTGTGATAAGACACTGACAAAAAGTAGTAACTTGAAAAGGAAAAGGGTTTATGTCATCTTACAGCATATGGTCCATTATCCCAGGAAATCGGGGCAGGGGCTCTCAGGCAGGAACCTGGAGGCGGGAGCTGACACAGAAACCACGAAGAAGTGTTGTTTGCAGGCTTACTCAGCCTGCTATTATACAGCCCTGGACCATCATCAGCCCAGAGGGGACACCCACAGTAAGCTGGGCCCTCCCACACCAATCATCCATCATGAAAAACGCACCACAGGCTTGTCCTCCGGCCAATCTGGATGGGGCATTTTCTCAAACGGCAATTTCTTAAATGTCCTTCTTTCCAAATGACTCCAGCTTGTGTCAAACTGACAGGAAACTAGCCAGCACACCACACACAGCCAGATGCAGAGGCACGTGCCTGTAATCCCAGCATGCTTACAGCAAAATGGGAGGCAAAGACAGGCAATTCCTAGGCACTTGTGGGACAGCTACCCTCACCGAAGCAGCAATCAACGAGAGACTCTGTCTCAAAGTCCAAAAGCAAGGATGAACACCTGGGGTTGACCCCTGACCTCCACATCCACACTGTGATATACATACACCAAAACCACAAAGACAGCTGTGACCCAGGTTGTCAGGACTCCTGTGCCCAGAAGACGGGATTCTTCTGAGAATCGAGAGGGGTAGCGCGAGCTCCGACCCCCTATGGAATTTCTGTACTACACCTACAGCCTCAGCCCTCATTTTCCAACAGTCTCACCAAGTTGCTTTGAGCTGGCCTTGAACTTCATTGGCCTGCTTCAGCCTTCTGGGTGGCTAGAATTAGTCTTACAGGGGTTATTTGTCTTCACAGGGTTGTTTATCCTTCAGGGACATTTTACCAAGTACATAGGGATTCTTCATCATTTACAATGAAATATGTATTTTAAAACAAAGAACTCCTAGGAACGAATTACCAAAATGCAAAAAAAATGTTGATGCTGACTGGAATATGTCAAATACAGTTAGTACCTGAGATAGCTCCCAATAGGTTCCTGTTGATGCAGATGACTGACGGGAGACAAAGCTTCCTGGCATCAGAATTCCAAGCTGTCTACCTCAAGGTCACCGTGCCAGCTGTGGGCTGTGCCTGGAGATGTTCCTCAGCTAAGTGACAGAGTCCAATAGGGAAAACTATGAGTCAAGGTGAAGGTAGACTCTTTTTACATAACATCTGAGAACAGCACTTAACCACTGAGCTCTTGAATCCCAAAGCTCGTAAGTCAAGTCATTCATGAGGAACACATCAGACAAACCCAAATCAGGACTGGGGAGACGACTAAGTGGGTGAAGCTGACCAAGTGCAATCAGCGGAGTTTGATCCCCAGAACCCACATAAACCCAGATGCAACGGTGTGAATCCGTAACCTCGGCTCTCCTGAGGTGGGGTGGAGTGGAGACAGGAGAGTGATCTTGTCTATCACTTGTCAAAATCTGAGAGACTGGGCAGGGGGAGGAGGAGTGATGGAAGAGAAAAAAAAAGCCAGCTGATACTGTCACCAGCAGAAAAGTTTTATTATTCCTCTTAAGGACAGACAAACCACATCCAAGGCCTTAACTTACAGACAGATAGTAAGGTACGAGATACAGGAGGGGAAATGCTTTGCCTCTGAAGTTCACACTGGTGTGGCTATGACAGAGCTCCCTGGTGGCCTGGGTGGGGTGGAGGGCATGGGGCTGTAGAACGCAAGAAGACAGCTGTGGTTCTAAGTGCTAAAGCTGCAGACCAAGGGCGGGGCTGCGAGGGCCTGCCCAGGGAAGGGGAGCGGCTGGTTTTCTACCCCCAAGACTCAGGCTGCTTTGCAGAGAGCCACGGCAGAGAAGCGGACCTCTCCCTGCTCGCGCTCAGTGAATTCCCTGCAGACCTTGGCAGCGTCCTGAAAAGAAGGGATGGTATTAGTATCCAAAGGGAACCTGCTGGAGACAAGGGTTTCAAAGAGAAAATATTTCGAAGGCCTAGTTGAACAGTTTATCCTCACTGGCTTTAAAGGATGGAGGTAAGGGAGGGACTCTAAACCACAGGCTCAATGTTAACCTGGAGTCCCTCATTTACTCCATGTTCTTATGCCACATGCCTGGTTTGGTATAACTTGGTTCACCAATGTTTTGAGGCAAGCAGATCTTTGATGTTCCAAAGCCAGGTCCTTTATAAAGATGGGTCTCAATGGACAGTGGCCAAGAACCACGGTTCCACCACTGACTTCACAGAAACCTTGGACGATGATCTCTCTGTCCTGGGTCCCTATCCTAGGAGCCTCACTTCCTGCATCACTAAGGGACTCAAGAGAAAGCAGAGCTCACTCAAGAAATCACCCAGCCCAGGAGTCAGTGAACTGCAGCCTGCAGACTCTTGGCACTTTGCTGCCGGACATAGGGAGCCCTGTTCATTCAGGGACCATCTATCTAGCAGTGCTTAGAGCTGCAGAAGCAGCACTGGACAGCTGCCGCAGAGCCCCGCCCCACAGGAAGCCCTAGTACTTCCCACTGTGTGCACACCCGGCGCTGGGAGAGATTAGCTGTTGTTGCTACTGTAAGTCAAGTTAGACCTCACACAAAATTTCCTTTGTAACAGCATGCTGATTCCACTAAAGCCTCGCTTTTAGTTTAAAAGGGCCTGTAACAGTTCAGAGCTGAGTCTTCAGTAGTCACCTCTAGCAGGATGAATTTAATTCTTTCTTTAGAAACGTTCTATGTATCTAGGTGTTTTGCCTAGATATGTATGTATCCCCAGTGTCTGTCGCAGCGAGAAAAGAGCGTCAGGGGGAGCTGGAGAGGTGGTGCAGAAGTTAAGAGCACTGACTGCTCTGCCAGAGGTCATGAGTTCAATTCCCAGCAACCACATGGTGGCTCACAACCATCTGGTGCCCTCTTCTGGCATGTATATGTAATAGATCTTTATAAATAAATAATAAAAAATAAAAGAACATGATTATGATTCTGCATGATTATGAGACAACACAGGGTACTACAAATCAAAGCCAGAGCCTCTGCCAGCGCTGCCACATGCTTAACTGATAAGCCATCTCTCCAGCCCCTTACCTGAGTTATGAATATTGTACAGGTGTAGGTGTGTGCATGCTTGTAGCTGCCCTAAAGCTGGAATTAAAGGTAGCTGTGAGCTGCCTAGATGTGGGTACTGGGAACCGAACTTGGGTCCCCTGCTTAAGCAGAAGAGTTAAGCTGTCTCTCTGTCTCTGGACAAGTGATCCCAAATCCCCTGCTCTCCAATACCAGTAGATCATGGGGAAGGAAAAAATACATATAATTTGCCTAGCCAAAAGTTGTAATATATATCCAACAAGGCTGGCCCATACCCGTAAGCCTCAAAGGCTTAGGGAAGGTGTAGAGAACTGAGATTTCACTCTTTAGTTACGCTGCAACCTGACAAGGAAACATGGCTGCCTTAATCCCACACTAAAGCCAAGCAATGGCTTTCAAGCCAACTCTAACCAAAGGTTGGCACACAAAACAGATTAGTCAGGGCTTCTCTGAAGAACCCTGTTTTAAAACCACCTGCTATCAAACGAGGCAGACAGAATGACTAAAGTGATCTTTAAGCCCTAAAGAATGCTATTAACCAACACAACTGATGCCAGTGTTCCTGAATGTCGGCATGGTACACAAAAGTAGCTCAAAGAAGCGTGTCTGCAGCATTGAGAGGCGCATTCCAGGGATTACCTGCAGCAGAGAGTCCTCTGAGCTGGTGCCATGGTTCACTGGAAAGGGCATTCGCCCATCTAGAACAAAGAAGCCAGGAATGTCAGGTTTCAGAATACAGTAGCTGCCCAACCCAGAAAGGATTTTGGATTCCTCCAAATGCTGTTACCATTCCAACAATGGAAACTGGATTTCAAAGCAACAGGATGCAATGAGGTTCAAGTGCTCTGGGAGAGTTACCAACAGTTCTAGTCTATGGTTGATAAGATCACACAGACCTGACCCAGCTACCCTAACAGGAGGAACTGTACCCCCCCATGTTTTGGAGGAAACAACTGTGTAAAAATTAGGCAGTCTCCAGGGAACAGTTTCCAACTGCTGTTTATCCATGGCTGAGTGCCTTATCTCCTTTACCCTTGGGAGTCTTTAAGTCTTAGACAATATAGCTGCAAGCCTTTCTCCATTAAAATAAAATGGATATTCCTTTTTATTGCCATAAATATAAAGGATGCTCAACAGGTCCAAATTCACTTTACAACCTGGGCACGGTATCACGCCTTGAATTCCAGGATTTGGGAGGTTGGAGGCAGGCTGATCTCTTTGAGTTCGAGGCCAGTCCAGCCTACATGGTTTCAGGACACCCAGGCTATGCAGACAAACGCTGTCTCAGACAAACACATCTTTAACAAATTTGTTTTCCAGAAGCAAGGTCATCTTCAGGCACTGATCCTTGTGTTAAATGGTTATTAGGGGACACTCTAAGGGAATAGGGTGGGGAATGCCAGGAATCCTTACAACGGATGCCAGTCTGTCACTGGCTTGTCACTGAAGCCATTCATTGGGCAATTCCTCATGGCCTGAGGAGGGCCAACTGGGTGCAACAGAAGGCTAAATATGGCCATTGGAATACACAGTTCTGGCTTTATAAATCGCTGCACACCTTCTGCCAGAAAGCCACATACCAATGCTGTAAAAAGAGATAAAGTCTCAATGAATACATGAAACCATACTGGATTCCAAAGATACACACCAAGTTCATAGAGGTGGCCGTCCACATTGTTGAACAGAATAAAGTGGAAATTCACTTTGTCATCTACCTGAAGAGAGCCACAGGGAGAAAAAAAAAATCAATGAGGTAGCAGATAGCTTACTAAAAATAAATTTTCTTATTAGCCAAGTGGAATATACTTCAAACAGCTTGCACTTAAACCCACCAAGGCAGAAATCCTGGAATGCTTGGGCCAGCTCTGCAGGCCTATGTCCAGTATGCTTATTAATGGGAGGAGATGGGGCTTAGGGAGGGGTCCAGAAGGCAGAAGAGACCTCTGTAGTAAGGTATGCCCTGGCTTCTAAGCTAAAATTTGCATTTGACACTAGACTTTAAAGTCTAAATGGTTCTCAACTTTCCTAGCTCTGACCCTTTAATACAGTTGTTTATACTGTGGTACCCCTGACCATAAAATCATTTCGTTGCTACTCCAGAACTGTAATTTTGCTACGGTTATGAATCATAATGTGACGGATCTGATATGCAGAATACCTGATATGGGACCCCAAAGTGTCATCTGAACCCCAAAGAAGTTGCAACCAACAGGCTGATAATTGCTGCCTTTGAAGGTCTGTTCACACTATGGCTTGCTTATTTTTTGATGCTGGAGTTAAACCCACGGGCTCTTACAAGCTAAACACAGGATCCACCAGAGTTAGTCTAATTGTCAAGTAGATTTCTGTAACTATTGAGGGAAACAGATCAAGTGTAAATGTCATAACAGAAAGGTTTTCTGGAGTCAGTTGGCCTTGGTGGGCTACACTTGCTGCTCACTGTTTTGCAGTAACAGATTCCTGTAAATATGTCACAGGAGGGCGCCTGGGCACAGCCTGACTCAGGTCTTATTGCATTTGTATTTACCCGACACTGGCCCTCCTGGGCCACGGAGTCATGGGCTGCCTGAATGGCCTGCAGAAGGAGAGAGAAAGCCATTAGTAAGCAGCCCTCCAAAGCCATTTAAAGGTATTGCTACAAAAGCACTTTTTACCTCGTTCTTCTCAAAGCACTTCGCTCTGTCTTCAGGGGACATCTTCTCCGTTTCAGACAGAAACTGTTTCAGGATTGAACCATCCTCTTTCAGAAAGAAAATGTACACATCAGCATAGACTGAACAAGGTAAGTGGGCGCACACTTACTGCCCACTTAGGCCTCTGCACAGCTGCTCCCATGAATACTTTAACCTAGTCCACTCTAGGGATGTGGATTTCGATGTGCCTTTTCACAGCCTAGCTTCCCAACCATGCCTTGCTGCTATAATTAGGCCAGACAGGCTGGTCCACTCTTCAATGCACACGTTCCTTCTTAGCTGGTCCCGGACATCCCAATCCTTGTCCCACTCATTTCTCAAATCTCACATACTCAAATCATGTATTTTGGGGGGGATCATATATAGTCCCTTAAAAGCAGAGCCTGCCATGTCTGTGGCTGACTCTGTACAACTTCCTAACTCAATGAAACATCCATTCACTCATTCATTCATTTTTCTTTTTTTTTTTTTTTTTTATTTTGGTTTTTTCAAAACAGAGTTTCTCTGTGTAGTCCTGGCTGTCCTGGAACTTACTCAGTAGAGAAGGCTGGCCTCAAACTCACAGAGAACTGCCTGCTTCTGCCTCCCTGAGTGCTGGGATTATAGGCGTGAGTGACCACGACCTGGTACCATAGTAACATTCTAATCTAGTAACAGTTCCTAAATCCAGGTTTTTATTTCAGAGTGGCCAATGGAATACAGAATGCCATTAGCACAAAGGTCTCATGGGAAGACCCTTGCCCTCTGGCTTAGAGCCCGATGCCGGCTGCCTTCGGGATAGGCACTGCCACTGCTCAGTGGCAGTAAGAACAGAAGGCCAGAAAGCCAGCTATAACAAGAGTAACTGACTGCAAATGACCAGTGTGAACTTTCAGCTCTAGAGTCAACAAACTCAGGATCGTTTCAAAATCTGGAGAGGCTGAAGGCTCCAAAGCACAGTACTTGCCTAGCCCTGGACTCGATTCCCATTACTGTGAAGACAGAAACCCAAAACCTGGACTTGGTGGGGATCCTCTTAACTCCATGAGAAGGACTGAGTCAAATTAACTTTTGGACCTCAGTTCTACCATGGTTCTAACCTTCCATCACCCCAATCCCAGGACCATAAGGCTTCTTAGAAGAAATAAAGACAGACCAAGATAGAGCTTCCTGATACGGCTTCATCATATCCATATACGAAAAAGAGCTTCTAGACCTAGGTACTTACAGACAAACAAGCATTTTAATTTAAAAAGTACATAAAGGTACTTTTGTAAGCACAAGAATCATAGTGAAAATAATTTTTTATATACATGTGTTGAGTGTGTGTAATCAACCCTAGAACCCTGTACTGTTCGACAAATACTCTACAACTGAGCTAGATGTGTTTTGGACACAAGGTCTCTTAGTGACCTTGAATAGACTCAAGTGATCCTCCTGCCTCAGTGACCTGAGTCGCTGGGACGAAATTTGACCTGCAGGAGCAACAGTGATGAGGATATTCAATCTATAGCCACCTGCAGCCATTCAAATTCAGGAGATGGCCAACTACTATTACTTCTTTTTTACAAATAGTTTTCATCGAACACAGCCACACCCACCTGCTTCCAGCATAGCTACGGCCAGTTTTCAGCTACAGTCAGAGACCACACAGCTCTCAAAGCCTAAAGTCTTACTCTCTGGCATCCTTGGCCTGAATCACGCATAACTGCTTTGTGATTGAAACATCTTCTTGCCAATTCCCATGCCTCTACAAGCTTAAGGGCCCACACCTCTTCCTCCCACAACCTGTCCGGCTTTCACTGGAGGTGGGCAGAAGCCCTCTGGGGTTTCAGTCTGCTGCTGCTGCTACGCATGAGACACAGAACCACTGCAGACAGGACCTACTGATCCTTATTTGCTGGCTTAACTCTTTGAACCCCAAATTGAAAGCTTAAATAGATGGTGAGAAGTCCCCCCCAAACCTATCTCAAAGTAAAGAAGGACTCTGTGCACAAAGCTGTACTCTAACCCCCACAGGCACGCTGTGCCATGCACCCATACCAATAAACTTTTTTTTTTTAATTTCAAAAAATAGCAGATGACCAAGTTATTAAGCCGCAAGTACCAAACTCCAGCTTGTCTTGATTGTTGGCCACTGCATGGATCAGCCCAATGGTGCCACAGGAGTTCCCGATGGTCTGTTTCATGAAATAAACTTTGGGACTAACTTCTTGTCCCTTCAGCTCCTCGATTTGCTTTTTCCTGAAGTTTTCATGCTGTGAACGGGGAGGAAATGTTTTATTTTTCCACCTCAAAATGAAAATGCAAAGTAAGCAGATGGCAGCCCAGCCAGTTCTGAAGAGACCCATTGTAGGATGCGTGACCATTAGCAGAGGCCATGGTTCTAGATGCTGTTCAAGTCTCCCTCCCACACCCCAGCAGGCCACCAGGCTCCTCCCTGCTGCTGCAGTGCAGGCAACTGCCCTTGGATGCTGCCCAAGACTGTCTAGACAACGCGGCAACCTTTAGCTGGAGATGGGGTGTCATGAAATCTCGAAACAGTTCCGCTCAAGGTTTTCTCCCTTGGACAGAACAATGACTGTATTTCATACAGGCCTCCTCCTAATCAAGCTTTGAACACCACCCAGGGCTAACACCAGCGTCTGGGTCGCTACTCTGTAACTGCTCCATTTGTATGCAAGTCTTTAAGCAAGGTTTAACTGTTAGAAGAGGCAAGCAGGTGCAAGAGCTTCCTTTCTCATTCGTTTTAGAAAGTTAAAGACAATTGGTGGGAGGACTGGACTATGGCTTAATTTAAAAAAAAAACAAAAACAAAAACAAAAACTTTTCACCTTGTAAAAGGAAGACAGGGCACTAGTTTATCCTCGTCAGCAATACGAGAGACGGTCTAACCGGAGGACAGAAGAGCAACTGTCAGGGGGTGAGTTTACTGATATGAACGGGAGATTTTCTCAAAGCTTTGCAAGCTTCTCGCTCTTTCCCCTCGCCGCTGCTTTTGGAAGACCTGAGGAGTTTTGGGAATCAAAAGCAGGTGCTACAGCCATAGACACACCTATTCCTATGTCCAGCAGAATGCACACAGCCCGTCAGCCAGCACGGGTCGGATTCTAGTAGCCTTGTGTCTACTGTACGTGGAAATGAAGTATGTGATTTCTCTGTGGCTCTGAAAGAGGAGTAAGATTTTCCTGTCCCACTAGATGAATTGAAACTCCACTTTAGGATGTTCCTACCTCCTCTTTACTGTGAAGAGTTTTTACCCCTCTTAAGGCTAATCAGCTGCCATTTTAAAACAGACTAGCACTGCCCTTTAGGATTGCTGGAGTTCTCCAATGGAGACAATACCTCACCACCACAAAGTGAATTAAGCTGTTCGTTTAGCTTTTCCCAACTTAAGCTTAGTCAGGATTAGACTGTCTGCTAAACTAGCTTGTGGGTGGATGTCAAACTTTAAGCTTCATTTCCCATTCAAAATTCTTCAGTGTTTTACCCATTACATATGCAGAACGGGTACTCGGGGAGGCAGACTGGACTGCAGCTCAAGGGCAAAGCAGTGGTCCCAAACCAAACCGAAACGTTTTCTAAAAAGATCTGCTGCCAAATGAGGCCAGCGAGCAGCTCAAGGCCGACAGGCTGCACCACTGCCTCCCAGAGGCCTTGCCTGGGCTCTGCTCAAAACCTCCAAGTCATCATGGTTCCTCCGAAGAGCAGGCCCTGGAAATGCTCAAGCGGAAGAGGCAGGCGGCTCTGGTTCAGCCAAGGAAGCCAATACAACATGGAGTGGCAGCAAGAGCAGCTTCAATTTCAAGACAAGTCGCTGAGATCTTCCACTCCATATGCTTGAACTCAAACTAGACCATCTGCTGGGAGAAAGGTCTGGAACTTTCCATACAGCTTGGCTTTGGTCAAGAATGCTTCTAGAGCACCTGCCCTCAGGATGGTATTTAATTAACCTCATCCCATTTAGAATAGTGCCAGAAATGGCAATGGTTCCAAGTTTTGCCAAATTCATCCCCTCCTAAATCAGCAGGCAACTGACAGCAACAGGAGACAAGATGGTGCCGTATTTACTGGGACTCTATGCACTGCAAGCCAACACAGAGGCCACTGTTTTGTTTTTTTAATGTCTGATGCCCAGCCTTTGAGTCACAGTCACCTCTGCACAGTGGAAGAGGGGAGACTGCTTCAGAAAATGCAAGGTGTTTCCATAACTGTGCTAAAGAAGACCTACTGCATCCAGCCACAAGGTCAGAGAAGTAGAGTCGGCTGCTCAAAAGATACTCTGCACCAGTGATTCAGCTTTAAAGGGCAGGTTCAACAGTGTGCCTGCTTTGGGGGGTAGGGTGGAGAATCCTGAATCCACCAGAAAGGCAGGTGAAGAGGTGGTAAATTAACAGGCAAGCCAGGTCCTCTTCAATTTACAGCTAGGGGAAAATATGAGAACCAAACAGGGACCTGACCTGTTACAGCCCTTAAAAGGAAACGGCCATCCTCAAGTGGAAGCAAACCTCAGAAATAATAAATAGATGAGTAAATAAACAAATAAATGAACAAGCAACTGAGTAGGTGTTCTTTCTTGGGATAACTGGAAAAATAAGACTTAGAATTAACGGTCTCCTTCTCTTCCAATTTGAAGGCAAAGAGGCAATAATGGCCATCACAACAGGCGCACCAATGAATAGCTACCATGAATGCAGACACCTCCCATCCTAGGAGGTGGGATCCTCATCCCCCTACCCTACAGGAAGAAGGGACAGCGTGTGGTAGTAGCACACCCCAAAGCAGTGTGCATCTTCTCAGACCCGCCCATCACAGACCTCACCCTACCTGGGCTGTGAGAGGAAACAGCAGCAGCAGCGAGCAGGCAGGGGATGGCACTGAGCCCAGAGTCTCCTCCTCCAGCCCCAGCACGTCCACGAAGCGCCACTGGCCGGCGACACCGAGCCTGGCCAACACCTGCAAGGAGGAGGCAGGGCAGCCAGACCGAAAGAGACAGACAAATGATGGGCACCTGCTAAGGGGCGGGGTCAGCACGCGCATCCTCCCCCACCCGCCAACAAACACACGGACCCCCACCCGAGTCTGGGAGGAGCCTCCGCGCCGCCCCACCCTCCCACCCTCCATGCCGCGCAGTGACACAGCACAAAGCTCGGCCCACACGTGGCTCACGCGAAGCCCTCGGACTAGAGTCCGCTAGGCGGTCGCCACGCCCTCGAAGGCTGTTCCCGGTGCTTGTCCCCGTCCGGGAGCATCCTCCGCCACCTCCCCGCGATCGATCTCTCAGTCACCTCTAAGCCCCCCCAATTAACTTCAGGCCAGAGACGACACCCAGGAGGGCGCCCCGGCCCGGCCACCTCCACTGCGCAGGGCGCGGCCGGCTAGGCATCTCAGACGATGCTCTCGGGGGAAAGGGGACGGAGGCTGCGCGCCACGCCACTCACTTTGTTCAGCATCTGAAAGGCAAAAGGAGAGAGGAAAATGATCAAGCGATCCCACTCAGCTACCTTGCCGGAGCTGAGGCCCGGCCCTCTGCTCCCAGGGCGGCCCAGCAACTACATTCACCTCGGGGTTAATCTCCATCGGTTTCAGCTGCATCTTCGCGGGCGGCTGTAGCAGACACAACCTAGAAGAGCCGAAAAACAGCGGGTGGAGCCGCCCAGGCTGCGGCTATAAAGCTCCGGCCCGACGCACTGGGGAAGCCTGAGCAGGGGAGGCAGGGACAGAACCAAGCGGAGGAAGATGGCCCGAGAGGACTCGAACCCCCCCGTGCGCTGCACGCAGTGGTACAGCCGGGCCCCCAAACCTTGCAGTCTCACTCGCCGGTGAGATAATCCGGTGGTTGTGGAGCTGGGTTTTGTTGGTGGGTGTTCCTTGAGCGCATGGAGCAGCCTTTTTTGATGGAGCTTTTTTTGATTTGGGGCGAAATTTCTGGAAACCCATCCTCTACCGTCTCAGTCACTCCAAAGCTCGAGGGTCTCTGAAATGTTGGGAAAAAGCACAAAATCAACAGGTACATACGTATTTTAATGTGAACATAAATATTTGTCGCTCCCCACCCCCACCTTGGAACAGTTTGTACTTAAACCTTAGACAATCAGTCCTCCATGTTAAATCGAACCTGGATCCAGGCTCGTTTTTTAATGGGCCGCCTAGAATAAAACATCTGCTGTGTAACCGGTAATGCATTAGTGAAGCTGATGTAATGTGACTCCCGGGGAAGAGCCGGTGGGTCTTGGGGAAGCAATACAAACAGTGACTGTAATACAAGACACACAGAATACAGTCGGGGACTCTAAAAGCAGATCAAAGAAAGGATAGGTGATTTGGAGACCAGAGGCTTAAAGAAAACAGCATTTTTTTTTTAAATGGGAAAGCCGTTTTCAAAGAGCAGAGGCTTGGGGAAATAAGAATCTGCTCCGCAGCACTTTCAGCAAAGAAGAAAGGGAACAGCAGCGGAGGAAACCACGGTTCTCTAATGATGTCGGACGGGATGTGTCCTTTCTAACAGGCACATCCAAGAGACGGAAAGAAAACGCTTATGCTGAAAGATGAGCCAGATCTGTACCAATTGTCAGGGAAGCTAAACCACAGAGTGAGGTGGCTAAGGAAGCAGTCAGGTTGGGTATTAAAAAAAAAAAAAATGCTCAGAGCAAATGGTGAAAGAACAGACAAACTGAGAGCCTGGAGCTGGCAACGATAGGATGGAGGGTGGAGGGAACCAACATGTTTTTTTTGTTTGTTATTTTTTTGTTTGTTTGTTTGTTTTTACAGTGCTGTGTTCCTGCTTGGATCCTTTACCCAGGCCATTTATTTCATCCTGAGAGGGTCCAGTGAATATATCGCATTAATGAATTTTTATAAATCAGGATCTGGGGCTTAGAGACATTCATTTTCTTGGTGTCACAGGTGGAAGTGAGGCAGGAAGACAAGCCCTGGTAAATAAAGCTGAAAGGGCCCATTTTCTATTTAAGGTTCAGCGACAGGCTACTTCAGTTTTCTTCCCATTTTCAATATCAGGAAAAAAAAAATGATCTTTACTTACCAAGGGAGAGGCAAGAATCCATTAGTAAGATCCTAATGAGTAAATTTTATGCTATGCAAATTACATCTCAACGAAGCTAATAAAAAGAATCAAGACAGTTGAATACATGATCCAAACCACTTGGCTACACTGGATGCATTTTTGTCTTTTGGCAAAGACAAACTACATTTCCAGTTTTCTTCATTTCTTCATCCATTCCACAAATAATTGCTTAAGCATTCCCCAAGACTGGTCACTGAGCTTGGAAATACTAAGGTGAATCCAAAAACGAATATGGACACTTCCTTCATGCAGCTTTTATCAGCAGTACAGTGTGGAAGGAACGCCTAACTCAGTGAAGGGAAGTAAAAAGACATGAAGGGAGATGCAACTAAGCTAATGCTGATGGACAGGCAGAAGTCAACAGTGGACAGTTATAATCAGAATAGCCAGAAAGAGCAGTATGACGTCATGACCTGGAAGTCTCTGTGGAAGCTACTCAGTTATTCAGTCAACAAACAAGTGTGTGTGTATACATTCATATATATACAAAACAAACATATTGTATATATAATATATGTTATATATTGTACATATATGTATATATATGGTGTATCATATGCCAGGAAGCATGGAACAATAAATTAAACAACTCTCTGCTTACAAGGAGAGTAGACACAGATCTTGTCCTGACCTTTAAAAAATGGGAGATGATTCTTGCCTTGTTGGAATTGCAAGGCAAGAAGATTCATACAGATCTTAGCCAGATTCCAGGACTCATAACTCATAACTTGTAGGAAAAAAACAAAAACAAAACAGGACGATGTGTGTAGAATGGTGGGGCTTAGGTTCTCATTTGGCTGGACAGTGGGGGTCTGCTGCCTGAGTTGGGGATGGTTTACAGTTGGGTTTACAGCTCTGCGCTGTCTTTGTTAGAGGCTGCCTGCCTGTGACGGAGCCTCAACAAGGCAAATGTCGGAATTAGAGGAGCAAACTTAAGAGAAAACAGTGAGTTTGATAGGCAGTACAGTGGGGGCCGCATGGCCTTGTGGGTATGTTGACATACCTAACAGGAATGTGTATGAAGCCCTACACATCCATTATAGTATAATTGGTCTCTACCGTAATTCTTTCTCCCCAGGAATCCTATGGTTACGAAACTATGAATTCGGGGAAATGTCGATTGAAAACAAATCATAACATTTTAATCATCAGAACTATTTAAAATTAAATACACAAGGTGGGCGTGGTAATGCTAACACCGAGAAGCTGAGCATAGTAAATTTAAGTCCATGCTGGGCTGCGTAGCTAGTTCAAGACCAGCCTTGGAAAATTAGCAGGATCCTTTTGCCTACCCACACCATAAGCTAACTAAATTTAATACATAAAAGTCATAAGGAAAAACATCTTTTGAAAAAAACAATTAAACATGAATTAATGAGTATAGTACCTGACTTTTTGAGTAGCACATGAAAAAAGGAGTGTAAAAAAATTGGGTCTCACTGTGTAGCTCTGGTTGGCCTGGGACACATTGGCAGAGCAGGCTGGCCTTGAACTTACGGAGATCCACCTGCCTCTGTCTTCCAAGTGCTGAGATTAAAGCACCATGTACAACTTCAAGTATTTTAGGCATCATAAATGGAAGGTAAGGATAACACAATTCGATTTAATTTTAATCGTAGAGGGCTCCCAGCTAGGTGCCTTCAGAAGGTTTCTGAGTCCCCTGAAAAAACAAATGCTGTGATCGATTAGCGGTGTCTGCTGTGCTAGCCAGTTTTATATCAACTTGACACAAGCTAGTTAATCAGAGAGGGAATCTCAGTTGAGAAGAGGCCTTCATAAGGTCAAGCTGTAGGCCAGCCTTTAAGGTATCTTCTGACTTAGTAATTTCTGGGGAGGGGCCGTGCCGAATTGTCAGTGCAGCCACCCCTGGGCTGGTGGCCTTGGGGTCTATAAGAAAGCGGGCTGAGAAAGCGATGGTGCACACCTTTAATCCCAGCACTTTGGGGCAGGAGCAGGCAGATCTCTGTGAGTTCGAGGCCAGCCTGGGGTGCAGAGCAAGTTCCAGGACAGCCAGGGCTACGCAGAGGAACCTTGTCTCAAAGAAAACAAAACAAAAGAAGAAGTGAGCCAGGGAGCAGCACCCTGTACCCTCCATGGCCTCTGCATCAGCTCCCTGCCTCCAGGTTGCTTGAGTTCCTGTCCTGGCTTCCTTCAGTGATGGACTATGAATGTGGAAACATAAGCCATATTATAGACCCTTTCCTCCTCAAGCTGCTTTGGTCGTGGTGTTTCATCACAGCAACAGTAACCCTAACTAGGATATCTGCCAAAGGCACAGAAAAGGACAACAGATGTTTTCTGTCTTTGGACTAGATTAATATAATATTCATGATTTATTTCATAAGGGAAGGAAATCCCATTGACTGAAATGACCAGATTATAACTGTGTTATAGTACCTCACATAACATAATAATCACTTAATAAAGATTTCCAGCTGAAAACTCTCCTTCAAGTCGGCAGGAATGCTTTCTGTTCTTTCAGAGAACCAGCGTTTGTTTCCCAGTATCTACATCGGGAGGCTCGTCCAGTGCTCTCTTTTGGCCTCCATAGACACACACACACACACACACACACACACACACACACACACACACAAAATAAACACATAAAGAGAAAGAAACCCTGAAGTCTTTCAGAGAGGAAAAGCCAAAATAATGTGCAAAATGGTTAACAGGGTGAGGAATATAAGATGCAGGGAACAAAGAAGTCCGGTTTGGTCCTATGAACGAAAGGAATCGAGTGATCCCTTCGCCAGTGTATTTAAAGGAGAGCATGCTCTTTAAGTTGAGTAAGAAGCCAGATGTGACGGGGATCTAATTAAAAGTATTTTCTTCTCAAAACAACTGTAATCTTCAACGGGTTGAGAGGCACAGTGGGCATATAAAATCCATAAACGTGAGAGTATAACAGAACTTTCTAGTGGAGTTTCACCTTTGCACAAGCGTCAGCCTGGTCTAATACTGAAATAGTTTCTTTATGGCAAGAATTGTCATTTAAAAGTTTGCAGTTAATTTCCTCTCCCAGTTAGCCTGGCACTGGCTCTGTAGATAATTCACATACATGGAACCAGGCACTATATAATCTTCAGTGTCAAGCTTCCTTTATTAGCCTGTTTCTGAGGTTGGTTCCTTGGTAGGCCCCAGAAGTCAGTTCTTTTTTTTAATTGCTGATTAGTGTTCCGTTCTGCAGGTGCATTGTATCCTGTTTTCCATTCACTGTCTGATGGATGTTTGCTTTGCTTCCGAGTCCGAGCTATTGCGACTAACATGACTTTGAACATTTCTGTATAAATGATTATGTGGACAGTTATTTTCTATTCGCTCATTCATTCAATTCAATTCATTCTGTCACTTTACATCCCAATCGTAGCCTCCTCCCTCCTAGTCCTTCCTTCCCTCTTCTACCCTTCCCCCTCCCCTACTCCTCAGAAAGGGGGAGCCCCCCACAACCAGCCCATACCAGCACATCAAGTCTCATCAGGATTGACCAATCTTCTGCTGTGGACTGGTGAGGCAGCCCCACCAGGGGGAACTGATCAAAAAGCAAGCAACAGAGGCCGTTATAGA